ATTTTTGAAGATCAAATTTGACTGGGAAGATTAGTGATGCACCATTAGTTACAAATGATATAATACTTTCTTTTACATATTCTACATGATGTTCTATACTACAAGCTTACTGATAGTGCAACTAAGGTCTAAAACTGGAAACCTATTTTAAAAAAAATATCTCCTCCGCTTGCAGCAACGCATTTAAATTTTGATTTGGGTTTGCGGCAGTTTACTGCTGTAGTCGGCTTAAGAAATTCAAAGAAATGTTTATTTTTTCTTTTTGAATTACTAAGGTAAGTATATGATTTATTTATTTTATTTCCTACGGACTTTCTATATTATTTTATGTTTATTGGCAAAATTAACTTTTTTTCTTTGCGAAGTTCACTAAAATATGTAATTTCGAAATCTTGCTCTTGTCACTTGGATATTTCTCCACGAAATTTTACTCATAAAAGCAAATGCATTAAAATAAACTTAGACTCTTATATAATTCTATTTTTAGCAGGTAAAAAGCTATATTGAAGTTTTACCACAGTTATACCGTAATGTAACTTTTTATACCGAAAATTTTTTAAAAAATTGAAGATGTAGACAAAGCAGTTTGCTCTAAACGAAAAATACGTCATTTTATTTGATTAAAAGAAATAATTTATTAATACGATTTTTCTGGCTTTTTTTCTTAACATCTGTTACAAAGCGTCTCTCAAGAAAATTAATTTTAATAACGTTTTGTTATATTTAATTTTGACATACTTTCTTTTAAGAGGCCTGAATTTTTTCGTTGATTCTGCTTTTTTAAAAATTTTATTCGGTCAAACTAGCTCGGACATTCACGAGTCTATTACGCCAACTATCACGGTTCAGAATCAAGGTCAGAGGGTCATTAGGTGTGTGGGGGGCATTCTGTGACATAATATAATTGGTCAACGTAGATTGTAGCTGGACGACCAACCCATCTTGCTACATGACAAGGTGTCCAGAGCAGATCACTTGCAAGTTATTGTTTGACAGTACCGCCCCGTCAAGCGCATTCTGCGTCGGATTGTAGAAATATCAGGGATGGGTACATAGAGCTGTGATTTAGTTGGATGTTGTCTCCAAGAGGTGTTATGTATAGCCGTCAGCATCCAAGTGTAGGTTCCATCAAGCTTAGACTCTAGGGTTTTAGTTAATGTCCAAACAGTGGCACTGTACATTAACACCGCCTCTATAGTGGCATGAAAGAATCTCCGTTTAAAAATCTGTTCACCCAGAACAACCTCAAACGGAGATTCTGCTTTGACACTGCGAAATTTATTTTAAAATGCCATTATTGCTCACATACCATTTTTAATATTTTCCCCTATGATATTACGATGTATAACAGCAAAATATATTGATGATAAAATTTAAATGTTATGAAAAATTTCTGCTTTACTTTCTAAAAGTTATTTTAAAAAGGTATGTTGAATTTGATTTTATCTTTTAATTTTATTTTACTATTAAAAACATAAAAAAAACATATAGCCTATGGCCATATCTTTTGAAACACCGGTTCTAGTTCGATCACCGAAGTTAAGCAATGTTGAACCTGTTCAATACCTAGATGGTAAGCTTGGCTGTGCGGGTGGTGTAATGGATAAAGTCTCGGAATTAGAAATCGGAGAGTCAAGTTCGAATTCTAGTCGAGTTCGTTATATTCGCTTACGTGCAAATAACTTTGGGAAAGGTATTAATGCACCTCTTCTCTTCTCAGCTATGGGTTAAATAGTAAAACTTGTATCAGAAACTATTATTATCTCAAAAAATTCTTACAAGCTAAAAATATGTTTTTAACTTTAAATAACCTTAAAAAGGTTGATAAGCCGTAAAAACAAATCAATCATAAAATAGAAGCAATTATAATATTTTTCTACTACAAAATGATTGGGAAAAGTCATTTATTAAGAATGCTGTTTAAGTTTTAATTTTTCTGACAACATTTCCGAAATTCAAACACTGCAATAGGTTTTCAGTTCTGATTCTTAGTTGCACGATAAGTTGGCCTGTAGCATAGAACTTCATGGTACTGTATTGAAGAAGTTGCTCTTTGCAAGCAATCGAGAAACCCATCCTATATATATTTTAAATTTTCACCAAATTTCATATGTTCGAAGTCAAAATAAGATGAAATAAATTGGGAACATTATCAAACTGATTATGAGAAACGTTTTTGTCGTTGATTTATTCATCTATATTTGTAGACATATTAAATTGGTTTGAAATTAGACTTTTCAATGCTGGCTTTTGTATCTGGTTCCCTATTTGGTAAAAATGTCTGCCTATGACTCACTGGAGTCAGTACTGGAAGTGCGTCAACTCACTGGGGGTGGAGTTGTCGATGAAAATATAAGCAGCACGGAGAGAGATGACCTCTCAGTCTTTCTGTGGGTAACTATTGATAAAAGATCTGAAAAAAGTCATCCTTGTCCATACCTTGTGTTGTCGCGCGTATCTTTGTTTCGTTTAGAACGCACCCTATGGTGTATATGGTATTTTCTTTGTGCATTTGTTTTTCTATTTTTTACAGTTTTATATAAAGTTTTGAAAAATTGTTTTGAGCGCGTCCTTTTTCAGCGAATACGCTTCATTTTCAATTTTTAGAAACTTTATCCTCGATTATTTCGGCATCTGATATTAGCTTTATAGTAGCGTGGAGCTTAGAGGTTAAAATGAACAGTTGATTTACCCACGTCAAGAAGATTAATGAAGGATGATAATGATGAGGAAACACGCAGGTAATTTTAACAAAACAAGGTAAGGAATTTATTTACAAATCTACACGCTTGATGTAGTGTTAATACCTAGTTTTGGGAAAATAAATTACAATTCATAAAGTCCATAATTTTAACGTATTGTCATGAAGAGAAAATGTTCATATAACAAATGATTTGAAACAATATTAAAAAATGTTTAAGACAAAGGTAAGAGAGTTCGTTACTCATCGAAAAGATATTATGGTTTGCATACGTTAAAAAGTAAACGAAAAAAGATAGTTTGAAATATTTAGCTTTCTTGGATTGTTGAGAGAAAATTATGGTTAGAGGTCGACAATATAATTGGCGAGTAATTTTACACTGGTGAGAACTTCAACACTGATCGCGATGAACAGAAACGAAACCCTTCACATGACTTCAGACATGCTTCTCTGATTAATTTTTTCCTCATTTTATATCGAAAAGAATTTCGTATAGGCTCGCTACTTTTCTTTCCTTCTTGTTGACCGACCGTCTAATTTCTGTGAAGACTAAGTTTTTTGTTGGTCCATAGGCTCGCGAATTCCTTTCCCTCTTCTTCCTCAGCTCACCCGAATTTGAAGGGAGTTGGTGAAGAGTGTCATTATCATTTCGCACTCACTACAGCTTCTTTATTCTTTTTCTTAAATGCTTTTTCTAACCCCGTGAAATGCGTTAATTTGTTACAAACCATTACATTTACACTGTAGCACTGATCATCATCATCTTTGTGCATTCTCCTTTTGGGCGTGAACAGTCATAGCTCTCCACAGCTTCCTATCATTTGTATCTCTGAGTAAGATTTGTCTTTTCGTTATTTCTCCCACTCTATCATTTGTCTCTCATGAGTAACATGTGAATGTTCAATTTCCCAAGACCTTTATCCTCATTATGTGACTTAGAAATATCAATTGTCTCTTTATGACTCTAAATAGAATTATCTTTTTCGCTTCCGTTTCCCTAAAGACTTCCGCGCTGGTAACATGTTCCGTCCATAGCATTCTCAGTAGCCTTCTGTAGAATCACATTTCTCTTGCCGATTCAAATGACTGTCTTAATTCCTTTACTTCGACCATCAAAAGAACTGCTGGTTCTTCGTGATAATGCAACATCCGACAAGAACAAAATCAGCATCTAGGTTTGAACCCTGGAAAGACAGAATTATCACAGCCACCAGCCTGAACCCATATCAGTTCTTTCCACTGACGCACGGGTCAAATGGGCGGCCAAAAAAAAAACAAAAAAAACAAACAAACAAAAAACAAAAAAAAACGTTGTTGTTTTATTTTATTTTTTAATAATGGCGTTTCATCTTTATAGCGATCATATTTGCTAAATTTCGAGTTTTTTTCCAATAATGTTTATACTGTACAACACCTAAGAGCCACTCGAGGTAGAGAGCTACAGAATAAGAGACACAGTTTATGAAGATATGTGGGAATGATAAATGACTTAATTCATATTCTTCTATAAATCCATAAATATATATAAATTTCTTTATTCAGTTTATTTTCTATTCTTTTATTATTGAGTGTCCTTTTTTCTTTCCTTTTTCATTTCCTTCCTTTCTCTTTCAAATAAATCTTTCCTTTGTTGTTCCTTATCATACTGAAATTATATCTTTCTTCTTTTTTCTTTCCTTAATTCTTTCTTTCTTTTACTTGAAAAACCTACGATAACCACTAACCTATTAAAAGTCGCATATCACCCAGCGGACTACCTCGTCAACTGAAGTCGTATTCGCCTCCGCTGCTTTCTGACAATGCCACAACCATCTTTTATATTCCAGGTGACGTGTCTGGAACAGGATGGAATCATTCTTTGTGCTGACATCATTTGTGGCTTGGAGACTGTAAAGGGATGAAAGACAAAGTAAGCGACATTGGCGAGGGAAAGTATTTTTTTTTTAGGGTTGGAGGCAAAACTATTGCTAAGAGAAGAAGAGACAAAATAAGTAATAAAGAATGAATGAATGAATGAATGAATGGAAGAATAAAAATTCGAACGAGCGGATTGACAAAGGTAAGTGGAAAAGAAAGAAAGAAAATCGTATAAAAACGGAAAGATTTTATTTGAAAGCGGAAGGAAGGAAACGAAAAAGGAAGGAAACAAAAATGGTCAAAATGACAATAGAGGATGAACAAAAATAAAATTAAAATAGAATCTTAATGAAAAATAAGGAAAAAAAAAACAAAATGAAAATGAAAGAGGGGAAAGGAAAGAGGAAAGGCAAAGAACAATATGAAAGAAGATTATAGGGAGTCAAATGAAAGAGAAGAAGAAAAAGAAGGATGAGGAGAAGAAAAGAGAAGGATGAGGAGAAAAAAAGAAGGAGGAAAAAGCGATGAAAAAGAGGAAGAAGACGAAGAAGCAAAGGAAGAAGAGGAAGAAGTTCAAGAAAAGAAGAAGTAAAGGAAGAAGATGAAAAAGAGGAAGAAGAAGAAGAAGCAAAGGAAGAAGAGGAAGCAAAGGAATGAGAGGAAGAAGAAGTGGGAGAAGAAGAAGAAGAATCAGACGAAGAAGAAGAAGAAGCAAAAGGAGAAGATGAAAAAGAAGAAAAGGAAGAAGAAGAAAAAGTGGAAGAAAGAAGAAGAAGAAGAAGAAGAAGAAGAAGAAGAAGAAGAAGAAGAAGCAAAAGAAAAACAAAAAGAAGAGAAAATATACAACGAAGAGAAGGAAAAGAAAAACAAGAAAGAAAAAATGGATAGGGAGAAGAAATCGAAAAAAAAAAATGAATGAAATAAAAAGAATTAAAAAGAATCGGAAAAAAAGAAATCCGAAGTTGAAAACTAAATGTAAATAAAAATTGACCATTAGTACTGAGCGGTGTTAACTGAATACTCCAAGATTATGACCTTGTGCCAAGTTAAGGAAATAACAATACAGAATTAATGTTAAATACTGAAACAAGAAGAAAAGAGAAAGAAAAGAAGACTAGAGAAAGAAAGAGTGAAACTGTAAGTAACAATGAAAAGAGGAAAAAAAATAAATTGCTACAGATAAAAAAAAAAACTGAAAAATGTGAAAGCGAAAAAAAAAATGAAATGCAGTGGAAGGTGGAGGGTTGGGTTGTGATGATAAATAAATCTGACTGTTTAATTTAAATTTTGATCTGAATATTTTCACTGTATAATGTTCTATTGATAGAATTAATCTCCGTCACTGAATTAAGTGCATTGACATGGAAGAAAAGAAACACGAGTAAGCAACGGGAAATAGAAACAAGAGAAAAATCAATTAAAATTGAAAATTTTTGCACAAAATAGACAAGAAAAATGTTTCTTAGTTATTAAAACTGCGCTTCGCTTTATTTCCACTTGATTTTTATGTCACTTTTCATTTAGGCATGTCTCTTCATCTTTAATGACTGAACTCACCACGCTTAAATATTTCTTTCTATAAAACACTTCATAGTTATTACAGATTTGACTTATACAAGGCGTGTCTCTAATGTCTGGACATAGGCAAAAATGCATATTTTCAAGAAATGAAATTTTCAACATTTTCTCACATACACATATACAGACAAAATCATAATCAGACAGGATTTGACGGGTAGAGGATCAAATCTTTTTTTTATGAGCTAAAACTCAGGGAGAACACGTTCAAGATCAGATAAAAGTTGCTCGTAATATTTTCAATTTAACGCATTTCTCTAGAATCGTTAAAAATGATATTAAGTATTAAACAATTTTGCAATTGAATTCGTTATACTTTCTTCACGACCAATCGACGAGAATTCTTTATTTAAATCGTTAAAAGAACAATATTCAAAGAATTTCAATTTAAATAAAAGTAACCTGATCTAGTTATAATTTTGTAATGGTAACACATTTTCAATTATTAGTTGGGAGTAATACTTCCTCTTACTATATTAACTGAATATTTCATTTCTAAATATCGAAGACCAGCTATGTGACTGATAAATATATAAAGTCACATTGCGTTTTATATTATTGAAGAGACCTTATGCATGTTTCTGCTCGAACATTTTCTTAAGTTTTATTGCAAGTAATTCTGAAAAGGAACAGTTTAATTTCAGTGGCTGATTAAATTAGAAGAATTTTAATTTTATTTTAGAAAACCAGCAAAACAAGAGAGAGAATACAAATTCCAAATCAAAATATTTCAATTTTCAGCCAACTTCTACAAGTTTACTGTTTGACGTCCTAAGAAAACTCAATTAAGGCAATATTAACTATCATATTGGTACCTGAAAAAATGTCGTGTGCTTATTTCGAACTTTCTTTTGCTAACTGTTCACTTAATACAAGGCCCAAGAGCCACTTAAGGTAGATGATGTGCGGGTGGTGCAATGGTTAATAGCTCGGGATTGTTTATCGGATAAGTCGAGTTCCAATTCCGGTTGGGTTCGTTATATTTATTTACGCGCAAATACACTTGGAAAAGGTATGAATTCACTTCGTCTCCCCCCAGTTATGGGCTAATTAGTAATTATTATCTAAAAACGATCTTACAATCTAAAAATATTTACTGGCTTTAAATAACCTGCAAAGGGTTGATAAGCCGTAAAAACTGAATCAGTCAATCAAAGTAGAGGGTTTCTGAATAAGGTAATTGCATGAACATGAGGAGGATGAGGAGGAATACAAATTATGAGCATATGTAGAAAAGATAATGGTTAAGTTTAGACTTGAAGAGATTCAAATTGTAGCTATCGGGGAAGTATACACTCAGATTCAGTTCCGCAAAGTAGTGATTCTTGGGAAGAAGCTGCCTGAATGAAACATTCTTTTTCCTAATCGAATATAAAGGAAACTGATTCGTCCCAGTGTACGTGGCAGGGTGGGTCGAATTAGTTCACCCTTTTGCTGTGAAAATGTTTGGTCCGGTCTGATTCTCGTAAAATATAGATCATGATATTTTTGGTTTAATCTAACCCTTGTAAAATATAAGCTATGCCATTTTTGGTCTGATTTGACCCTTGTAAAATATATCATGATATTTTTGGTTTGATCTGACCCTTGTAAAATAAAGGGCATGACATTTTGGTCTGACCTGACCCTTGTAAAACAATCGGTATGGCAGTAGAAATTTCTGTCATTTTTGGAGCGGTAAAAAATATAGATAAGTGGTTATTTGAAGATAATTCTTAATCTAATGACATCCCGATTAGCTTGTCAATAGAAATGATCCCATTTTTTTTTTAGCTTAAAATAAGAAAATTCTACAAAAAGCACAGTACAAGTCAAAAATTTGAAAGGTCGATAGGAACAAAGTTATAAATTGATGTTTCTTTTTAACGAGCTGCTACATATTAACCAATTAAAAGAGATTAATTTTCTTTGGGCATTTTTTTCCTATTGAGAGAAAACCGGGGTGAGTTAGAACATTTTCACTTAGCTGTGAATTCGGATGAAGACAATTCATTAAGACATAAATCTGACTAATAAGTTACTATGGAAAAGTGACTTCCGTTGAATGCGTCATTTCAATTGGAAATATTAAGTTTATTATATTATCATTTAAAAATTCGAAAAACTGTACCAACCTACCCCCACCATCAGTGCAAGTAAAATCTAATGGGACAAGTTGCTTCTGTTGCTAATGGCGAGAAATTTATATTATATGCTTTTCTAATTTAGAAATTTTATATAATACAGACGGATTAAGAGTAACAGAATATTTATTTGCTTCCGAAATAAGATAACGACTGATTGGACAACTGGAGTTCTATGTCAGTAGGTGCATTATAATAAAAGTTAAAAGATGGAGACAGTAAGAAAAGAATAGTGACAACAAACAGAAGATTTTCTTGATATATTTCCCCTAATAAAATGGAAATTTGAGGGTCTCTCAAAATGTTCAAAACCTCATCCAGAAAGAAGAGCCATAACTGGACATTTTTGTTGTGACAATACAGTAACACTTCTTATAAAACTAAAAAAAAAAAATAATTCAGATTTCTGTCTTAATTTCTGTGCAGGTGAGGCCCATACAAATGTGAGAGGTTTGCCTCAAATCTAAAAATGGACAAAGGTCCGAGTAGTTATAAAGTATATGTAAAAGAAAGGTATGACACCCAAGGAAATCCACGAGGAAATGATACAGACATCTATTGAGGAGTTCCCTTTGTATGCAACTCTGAAGAAGTGGGTCTGTTGAATTTAAGCAGAGAAGGGACAGCACAAAAAATGGCCCTCAGTCAGGACATCCAAAAACCTCAACCACTGATTAACAAGTTGATGTCATTCACTGTATTGTTTGGGATAACAGACATCCTACTGTCTAGCAGATAACTAAATTCCTAGGAATTAGTTCTGGTTCGGTCCACACTGTTTTAACTGACATCTTGAGGATGAGCAAGCTGTCAACAAGATGTGTCCCAAGGATGCTGACTCAGGAGCAGAAGCTGAAAAAGGGTTGATATTTTCAAGTCACTTTCTGACTCGCATTCAGGCTGACACTGAGAATTCCCACCGCAGATTAGTAACTCAACATGAAACCTGGGCTCACCACTTCGAACTTGAATCAAAGATTCAAAGCAAATAGTGAAAACACACTAGTTCTCCAACCCTAAGAAGTTCAAGCATCTGTTGGCAAATTGATGGCTTCTATTTTTGGGGTGGGGGAATACTGATGGCATAATAGTGATAGACAACCCGGAAAAGGGGAAAAAAACTATTAATGGTCAGTAGTATGCATCAGAATTAAGACAGCTGAAGGAAGGAATCAAGTCAAAATGCAGAGGGAAGCAGAGGGCAGGTGGTGCGCTTGCTCCAGGATATCGCGCCCGTTCACACTACTCAGGTTTCAGTAGATGAAGCAGTCAATTGTGGCTTTGAATTGCTACTCCACCCACTTTACTCAACAAATTTAGCTCCACCTGACTTCTTCCTGTTTCCTAAACTCAAATCCCACCTGTCTGGTCACCATTTTGGAAACAATAAAGAGATCATATGTGCTATGGAAGGGTTTTGGGAGGACCAGGATGTCATCTTCTTCCGTGATGGGATTGTAATGCTTAAGCCTCGTTGGAACATAAAGCATCAAGTGTATTGATGTCAAGGGGGACAAAATTGAAAAATAATGAAAAACTGTCTTGTTTCTCCAGCTCCTTCTGGGTAAGGTTTTGAAATATTTGAATGACCCTCGTAAAAATCAAAACAATATCGTTAACAAACCTTAGCCAGCAAAGAGTAAATTATTTATTTAATTATTCATTTGGTAGAAAATTAATAGTTATTTATTAATTCAGCATTAACAGATGAACTCGTCGGACAAACAGAGTAATCTCTGAATTTGTTTTATTTTTATTTTTTGTTCTGAAATGTCCACATGTGGCCGCATTTGACAAGATTGACATTTTAGCCAAATTTCACCAGGGTCTTAAAGTGGAATAAAGATTTAATAAATCCATTGATGCGTTGATCTGGTTTTGATCTACATTTAAGTTATGCATCTTATGTTCTTAAACTATATTTATTGAAGTAAATTGCGACAATCAATTCTGTAGGTTGATACATCACAGGAAATAGCTTCATTTTCTGCATCGTATTTGAAGAAAAGAAGTTGCTTGAAATGTATATACACTGTTTATTGCCGTTTCTTATGAACATAAATGACACTATCATCATTATACATTACAACATTTATTTGTCATAATTAAAAAAGTTACCAGAAAAAAAATGTTTTTCATGTTTGTAGCACACGTTCCTCAAGTTTAGAAGAAAAATGTCGGAAACTTTTTTGTTCAAATTACGAATAACAGCAGCGCAACCAAGCGGCGGAAACAAAAATTAAAGCAAATGAGATTCAATCTTTGTCATGTATCAACCAGTCTTCGTTTATGCACTTGTGAATTTAACTTAAAATGTTTTCATTCTTTTGGTCACAAATATATTTTTCACGGATGTACAGAATATTTATCGCTTAATTACCAATCAACTTGATTAGTTTTTAAATGGAAACAATACATAAATTATTATTATTATTATTATTATTATTATTATTATTATTTGTACAATTCTTTCATATATCTAAAGAATGTAACAAATACGGGATTTTTTTTATACTTAATTTTTTGCAACATGCTGATGCTTGCTGAAATCCTCACAGTATTTAATATTGTTGGTTTAGTTTCTTTTGTTTTACGGCATATCAACACCTCAATGAGTTATTTGATGCCGACAAGATTTTTAGGATATGTTCATATAAATAGAATATTTATTTTTAAGAAATCATTTTGTAGATTAGGTGTCATTGTCGTGTTTTTGCAAAGAGTGTTCTTGTCAAGAGTCAAATGTAATGCTGGTAATATTTTTTTCAAGAATCTATTGCTGGTATTTTTATTATAGAAATCTATTTTTATACTTTCATTGTGTTTTTACGTCAGTTTGGGGGTTAACTATTTGCCCATAGTTGCGATCGTAACAGGTGCTACCACCACAGGTCAGGGTAGTGCTGGGAACAAGAGCAATTAAGAGGTGGGTCCACGCACCTAAAAAACTCTCGATCAGAGGTCTTGCTGCCGGATATAGTTTATCATTATACCCAGGGCGTTAATATTGTTGAAGTTATCGCTAAGATTTTTGTGGAGATTTGGAAAATTCTACGTTTCGTGCAATTTCGCAAACCAATCGATGAAATTTGAAGAAGCTGATTTGTTTGAAAAAATACTTAAAAAAAACCCCAATTCTACTGCATTATTTACAATGAAATTTCATTCTTTTCTATTTAGTTGCCCCAAGCTTCAAAAATTGAATCATCCCAGTTAGTTATTCCAAAGGAACTAACTTAAAATACTGCCTAGAATGTGGGTTTTCAACAAGCAAACTAAAAAAAAGAAATAAAAGAATATCTCCTTAACTAGAAGAAAATCTTAAAAAAGCAAAAACATTTGAATTTTTCAGTTGATGAACTTAGAAAAGAAATAGTTTTATTGAAATCCAATGAAATTTAATAGAATTTTTTGCGATGGGGATAAAGTGTGTCTACAAATAACATCTGTTTTTCTCTATAAACAACACGAAATCAACGTACAGCCACTCGCCACTTAACGACCTGCTTGTTTAGTGACCCTAAACATAGCAGACACAGAAATGAAATTACAAAATCTCCTACAGAAGGTAGCGACGGAGAGTGAGAAGAAAGGACTAAGCATACACTACAAGAAGACAGAGTGTATGATCGTCAGTAAGAGGAGGAGCTAGAAATGCGATCTGACGGTCGGGAACATTAGAATCAAGCAGACGCAGAAGTTTAAATACCTGGGAAGCGTCTTGACAGACGACGGCAAGTGCGACACTGAGATCCGTAGGCGTATTGGGATGGCCAAGGCCACATTCCAAAAGCTGGGCCGAGTACTGCGTGACAGGGTGGATATCTTTGGTAACAAAGAAAAGAATACTGGACATGTGTTCTTCTTTACAGCAACGAATGTTGGACGATTTCCTCGAAGATGAAGAAGAGACTCGAGGTGGCAGAGACTTGGTTCTACAGAAGGATAATAAGGATATCATGGACCGAGCGTGTGAGCAACGATGAGGTCTTCGAGAGGATGCAAACAAGGAGGAGGCTTATACTTAATATCAGGAAAAGGCAGCTGAAGTTTCTGGGACACATAATGCGGAAGGAGGGCCTGGAGAATCTGATACTCACGGGTCGAATAGCGGGAAAGAGAGTCAAGGGAAAACAACGCGTGGCATACCTGATGGGCAGAACGTTGTCTGGGGGATGAATCAAAGATAAGGAACTTGTTGAAAGCTGCAAGGGATAGAAGGAGGTGGAGAGCCATGATCGCCTACATCCTGAAAGGACATGGGACATAAAAAGAAAGAAGACGTACGACCATCTAAAAATCTGATAAAAATAAAAATAAAATCTTTAAACGGTTCATTTTCTACGTTGCACTAAAAT